GCACGTGGGTTTGAAACATTGCCTTAAAATTTCAGCCTCCTGGATTTTGTGATCTCCAAGCTAGTGGTTTTGCCGCCAAAACTTCACGTGTCCGCACGTGAGATCTAACAGAGCATTTCAGCTTCTTCGCTCTCATGATTCCGGAGTTGAAAACGCGGGAAAGAAAAGCACTTAGCCAAACACACATACAAACAAACACAGGCATGACAATATGCGCTTTGTACAGCTGTTAAATCACAAAAAACGCTTAAAAAAAGTCGATGAAATACTGGCATGTAAGGTTATACGAACTACAGCAACGCGAGATAGCTGATGCACGGGATGCCTGAAATTCCATCCTTCTGCAGCATCTGCAGACTACCGATAATTTACAGATTTGAAACTGGAAGACATGGGCGTGCAAAAAGCCAGCAGTTCGATTCTACCTCTAAGAGGTTCAATCTGTCTCGAACCATCCATTTTTTTTTTGAGGCATATGCCAGGCATTCAAATCCGGCACTAGTTTGAAACGACCCTCGAAGAGCTAGACATCGATAAATTTGCGAGTAGCAGATGCTGTTGACTTTTGCTGCGGCTTCTGCTACTTCCAAGTGCTTCTTACTCTCACAAGAGCGAATATCGAGAGGGTTTTAATTTTGACAACTTCAAAGGCTAGTCGACAATATACGAGGCCTTACTTTAGTTTCTTATAAAACGCGAAATGCTAATTTCCCAGCTCACCACCCTCCCTGACACTTGCCATGCTCGATGGCGAAACATCGCCTGAGCTTCCGCAGTCTCCCATCTGTAAAAGTACTTTGGGTTGAATTCAGTGGACGATGAACTCAACAAATGGGAATAAATAGCAACGCGCACCAGACTAGCCGGTGTGATCATGCGTTTTGTGCATTTCAGCCCAGCGGACAATTGCCTATTAATGATTTTCGCTGCTTTGTACTTTAGTCTATGCAAAAATAGTTGAACATTGAAAAATGGCTAGAAATTTCACGCACCAGCGCGCATGAAAGCAGAATTCGAAATCTCGGAGGGATGAATATCTTTCCGTGATTCCCGAGTTAATAGTTTACCCGCCAAAATTTTCACGAGGCCGTAGGTGGTACCCGAGAGCGTGAAAAAGCTGAATTTGAATGGGGAAGGTTGAGCGGAGGCAGGGGGTCGTTCTCCTAAAATTTCAGCCTCCTCGACTCTGTGGTTCCCGAGATATTAACTTAGCCATGAAAAACTTTCACGGGACCGTACGTGTTACCCGCAGGTATGGGAGGGCTGAATTTGAATGGGCAAGGTTGAGCTTGAGCAGGAGGTCATTACCGTAAAATTTCAGCCTCCTAGACTCCGTGATTCCCGAGATATTAACCTACCCGTGAAAAACTTTCACGGGGCCGTACGTGTTACCTGCGGGTATGGGGAAGCTGAATTTAAATTTGCGGGGTCACACGTGGGTGGGGAACGTTCCCTCAAATTTTCAGCTCCCTAGCTTTTGTGGTTCTCGAGTTGAAAGTTGCGGAGAAGTTGCTGCGGACACACACACAAACACACAGACAACCTCGTGACAATATGCGTTTTGTAACGCTGTTACACAGCACAAAACGCATAAAAATCGAAGACGTCTGTTGCGTCGTAACATTTGTCTTCCAGTCTTAGATAAGCTACACTCCAAAAAGGTATCTAATGAAAATACTTACAAAATGTTTGTAGTAATCACCCATCGCCGATAAGGCACCACCAAATGTGGACAAAATCCACAGTAGTTTTTCTTGCTCGAGAAATCTGGAGATCAGAGTGCAAATCCGACGGCTCCTGAAGTATGTAAGTTTTTTCACAAAGCACGTACCAAAATTCTGCTTATGAAAAAGAAAAGGATGGCGAGGTTGTCGGCTACATCACAGTGAGAAAATGAAATATGCCGACCAAACTAAATGTATTTCAAGTTGCTGCAATGCTGAGTGAGGCATCAGTAGGGGAACACCAATTGTAAGGAGTACGAAAACAGCATCTCTAAGACGAACCCGTATTCCCAAGCTAGTCACATCAGATTTCGGAACTGAAAACCGGCCACACAAGATTTCACACACCAAGAGGAACTACATCGAAGTTGTCTTCTCTAAAGTGACAGCATCATAAGATTTTTGCCCTCAGATTCTGCACTTTAAATCCGTCCATATCATATTTCTTCTCCAAAATCTGCCAAATAAGTTCCTGTCCACCAAAACTGGCCCCAACGGATTTGTCCTCCAAAACTTACTCGTTCAACTTAACGACCAACGTCATCCATCAACATTAGATCTAGCTCCTCAAAACAGCCTTTTAGATTCTGTCAATTAAAACTGGTCATATCAGATTTCGCCCCAAAAACTGGCTACATAAGACTTTGCTCTCCAAAAATGCCCTATTCCCGGTTAAGGAACAAGAAAATGAGAATAGTTTCAGGAGTGCAAAATGTTATAGGATCAATCTTGGCGTGGAAAACCTGGGGTGGCCAGTTTTGGTGTGCAAAATGGGCTAATGGCTTTGGGGCATAAGATAAGAGCAGGAGAGAGAAAATTGCAAGGTAAATTGCCCAGTAAAAGGCTTCATTTCGAGATGGATGAGAATCGAGAGGGATATGCTCATCTATAACTGAAAAATATTTCAGCATGAAAAGATAGAAATACTAGCCATTTATAGTCGATTTCGTTGATCAGCGGATCAGTGAATCGGACCGACAAATAAATTATCTGAAAGCTCAGTAAACTGCCCACAGTACATAGTTAAATAAATGAATAAATTTATACATGGATGAAATACAGGAAATATACAGAAACTTTGCGTGTACTTTCTCCAAACGCTTTCCCCTCCGCAACAATAGTATCCTGGTGTGAAAAAGCCTCATCTCTGAAACAGGAATTCAATTGCCCCTAACACTCGTGCTTCGGGGAAGGGCTTCCTTAACAATTTCCATATAGTCATCCCCCTTGTTCCTTCCACCCACAAGAGTTCGAAGCGCAGCATTCGACTCTGTGTTATCGATGTTTTTTCCTAATCG